TTATTCATTCAAATATTTTTTGTTATAAACATTTCATATGCTCTTTTGGTATTTCTTACTTTTATGAGGTCATAAACAATTTGATTGTAATTGAATTGAACATTTAGGTAGTCAGTCCCATCTTCCCTTTCATCACTGGTAATTCTGCTTTTATGTTTATTCGTTCAGATATTTTATTTTGCAATAAATCCATTTAGGTAGTCAGTCCTATCTTCCCTTTCATTTAGGTAAATCTGCTTTTATGTTTATTCATTCAAATATTTTTTGTTATAAACATTTCATATGCTCTTTTGGTATTTCTTACTTTTATGAGCTCATAAACAATTTGATTGTAATTGAATTGAACATTTAGGTAGTCAGTCCCATCTTCCCTTTCATCACTGGTAATTCTGCTTTTATGTTTATTCGTTCAGATATTTTTTGTTATAAACGTTTCATATGCTCTTTTAGTGTTTCTTACTTTTATGAGGTCATAAATTGTAATTGAATTGAACATTACCTGTTATTCATATCTTCGCTCCAATAGCTTTTTCCCATTATTGTCCTTGCCCTGTTGGATTTTTCAGTGTTATTATATTTCAAATTCTAGTTTATGATATTCTCAAATTTGCTTATTTATTGTTAAAATAAATTCTAATATTCCTTTTTTTTTTGTCACTATGAAGATCTTTCTCTCTGCATTTGTATGTCTGGGTATATGTGCAGTGCCTCTTTTGCACTAAAATTGAAACAATGAAACAGAAAAAGAGGAAAATATAACTGCTCCAGTTATCAATACTGTGTTACAAGGGTGAAGTTGATGGACTGTACGGTTTACAACTAATGTTGATGGACTGTGTTATCAATACTCTGCATTTACTTAGGCTTGGGCTAGTACCTATGCATCCTTTTGTTTAGTTAACACCATGTGTTGGTTTACAACTAATTCGTAGGGGATGATTACCTGATTACCTAAGTACCTAAGTGACAACTGATGCCTTCTATAGGAATTGATTCACAGAAATCACGTAATAATAATAAGATTAAAAAAGGCGAAGTGGGAAAGTAAGAGAGAAAAAGATGAATGTTCAAAAAATATATTTCTATCGTATAATCACATACAAATCTCAAGCCACATGGTAGTTGAGACCCTATAGCAGTGAAATCAATAGGCGCTTGCCTAGGCGAAGCCCGAGCACCTCAATTAGGATTCAGGTGGGCGTTGCGTAGACTTGCGCTTGGGCCCAAGCGTTGGCCTGGCCCAAATCAGCTTTAAACAAGCTTGAGTCAACCCGAATTGATTGATTCGATTCAACCAAGCTATATTATCCAGCTCACTAGTCCTCGTCCCCGACCCCCCCTTTCTTTGTGTGGGACCCCTCTTTAACCTAATCGTTGTGTCATCTTCGTCGTGCGAGGCGTTCGGATCTACACTTTCGAGTGGGTGTGGAAACCGACGATCGATGTTTGTGTGCAAGTCGATGGTCCCTCCCCTCATGAAAGGAGGTATCCATCGGTGCTAGTCCTTACGCTTCTTCCATGTTGTCCCGTCCACCTCTCGCGACGATAACTCCCTCTCTTGTCTCTCTCTTACCGTGTTGTTCCCTCCATCTCCAGCGGTGGTACCTCTCTCTCTTGTCGTGTTGTTCCCTCCACCTTCGACGGTGGTACCCCTCTATCTAACTCTTGATTGCTTCGAAGGCCAATGGTACAACTGCCATCCCCGCTCTATGCTTCTCCCTAATATAATCACCTTCCCTCTCTCTTGAGTCTGTCTCTCCCCTCGACCCCCTCATCTCTCTCCCTCTTCTGGTGGCTCTCAACACCATCGACGATCGACGGTACCCCCTCCCTCCTCTCTCCCCCTCCCGCCTCTTCTTCTTTTTCTCTATGCTTCGGGTGTCTTAGAGCCTTGGCACCTAGTGCTTGTTGACAACACTGCCATGTAGGACTTTAAATTTGACTGAATCACAGACACTTGACCTTGAGCTAGTAACCAACTTAGAACTTAGCTAGATCCAAGGTACACCTTGGACCTTGACTGCATCAAGCACTGGGGTTGTGATTTGGCGTAGGCCTATCCTACTGCTATGTGCACTTACTAATAGGAAGAAACCTGCAAATTTTCTGTGTGTGTATTATGAGGCTGTCAGCTTAGGGACATAATTTTGGATGCTTTAATTGGAAACCTTGGTTGTTCTTTGTTAATGTTTCATTTCTGATATATGATTTTCCAAAGACAGCATCACAGTCAAAATTATCTCAAAATCTGATAGCCCATGAAGCAATCAGGTAAAACAAAATGATTGCCATATCTATATCAACTACATGCTGGATCTAATCTGTAGGTTACTTGTTTGGTACATGTTAAATGCTTGCTCAAAGCTTCCCGAAAGTATTTGATTTCTCAGTGATACTAGAAATATTAAACAGGATACACTTATTGGTAGAGAATTATTATTATTTTAATAACAGTATAGTACTAGTCTGACAATATGTCGAAACCAGCATCGGACCACAACTTTAAATTTTTGTTCAGACTCGTGCTTTCCCACACTATGACCTTGCAGCCCTTGCATACTCGTTTGTTTGCCTTTGTAGTGAGAAAGAAGTTTATTGTACCTTAACTTAGTCCAAGTTTCTGTTTTTCTTTTTTGTAACTGAGCAGACATATATTTTAATAAATATGTGATGACAACCGCATGAACAAAAGACATGGCAAATTTATTTCATCATATATGCCCCTTTGTCCAAATAGGGAGAAAGTTCCTTGCTAAATGTCTTAGATCATATAAGGAGTTCCTTGCTAAGCATCTTCAATTGCTATGGTTTCTATAAACATGTAGCTTTCCTATTTCTATGTTAAATGGGACATTGAGTTTGCTTGATGTTCTCTGCTGCCAATGATTAAATAAATACGTTGACTAATTTGTTTGTTCTTCATGCTATCTATTTTACTTAAACTGTAAGTCATTTTATGGAAGTTTCAGTTGTAGTAAAAAATTCAACATTATTTTGGACTGTAGCAAGTTCCAGATGAGTTTGATCGAGTCATTGTTGGAATACAATCTTATTTAAGCATCAGGAAGCATTCTCAAGATACAAGTTTTATCGTTTTTGAAGCGGATGAAGACAAATCTGCTAAAGAAAAGGTATTGTTCTTTTGATCTCTATGGCCTAGGTTTACTAACTTCTTTGCAGTTTATTACACTTCTTGTTTATCTATTGTCTATTTTTGTAATTTTAAAATACAATAAAGATATACGATGCCTTTATTACCCATAATATATGATGCATGAAAAATATGGATGTAATTATGTAGGTTGTAAACCCTGTATGATCTTAATGGAAACTTAGTTTCATAAAAAAAGTTTGTTCTTGTTTTATCCAATGATTTAAAAAGCAGTTTGCGCCAAGGTTTAAAAACGCCCGAGACGCTAGGCGCTCGCCTGAGCGAAGCGAGACACTAAAATATAAAAATATATAATATAATTGATAAATATAATTATTTAAATAAAAATATGGTATTAAATTAAAAAAATATTACAAAATCACAATATCACATAACAAAAAATCTCAATATTCAAAACAATAACAATAATTTCAAATAAATAAAAATTAGCAGTATTAAAATCAAAATAATATATTATTAATCTAATAAATACAAAAATATTGTTATTAGTATACAGTTAACGGTATATTGTTAATATACTGTTAACAGTATACTATCGAGTCGATGTGAAGAAGAGGGCAGTGAGCAACGGCAACGGGAGCGGGAGAGGCGAGCGGCGATAGTGGCAGTGGCAGCGGTAGCAGCGAGAAGCGGCAATGGCAGCGAGAGCGAGAGCGACGAGCGGTGATAGTGGCAGTGACAGTGGCAGCGGGAGCGGCGATAGTGGTAGTAGCGAGCAGCGACAGTGGCAACGACAGCGACGAGTAGGGTTAGGGTTGGGAAGTCGCGAGAGGAAGGCTGATATCGGTGCCTTAGTTGGTTCGATTGAACCAACTAAAGCACCGGAGACCAAACCAGACCTAAAACACTGGTTCAGCCACTTGGTTTTAACCCGAGCGCTTGCCTGAAACGCCCAACACCTGGGCTCGGGCGAGCGCCCAGGCGGCGCCTCTTTGAAGCGCGCCGCCTGGAAATGAAGCGAGACGCTTGAGCCTCGCCTTGCCTCGCCCGAGCGCCTATTGAAATAACTGGTTTTATCATAATATAGTATGATCATAATATAGTTACTTGAGGACATAATTACTTTTCATTATCAAGTACGACTATATAGTATGACTTTGCATAATATAGTATGACTATATTATGACTATATAGTATGACTTTTCATAATATAGTTAGCTTGTCTGCATAATTACTTGTCATTATCAAGAATATAAGATGGTAAAGAAAAGTTTGTTCTTGTATTATTATTTAAGTGATCATATGTATGCTTGTTGTTCTATTGTTTTGTGCTTTTACACGAGGACATATTCCTTCTAAATACACTAATAGTGATGCCATTGTCATGGTTAAACCTTCTAAATATATAAATATAACTATGATTGTTGTTATTTAATATCACTAGTTTTTTTGTCAGGATTTTGTGGAAGATTTATGGGATCATATACAAATTCTTTCCACTAATGGATGGAAGGTTGATAGTGGTATGTGCTCTATTTGCATCTTTTTCACATGCCATTGTTGATCTAGATGGTTTCTATTTAGTGCTCATTTTTTGTATATCCTTGTTGTAGTTCTGCTTTGCTTGTGTTAATAGCAACAGTTTTTAATCATGGTCAAGCAAAAATGTGCATTTGGAAGTGGTGAAAGTAAGTTTGCCAAAATACTGACAAATTATTTAGATAGATGGAGTCCACACTCCACATGTTGCCCTCCGGCAATTAGTCATGATAACCTTATCATATTGTACAACTTTTCATGCCCAATACTTGATATGTAATCTTTTTATTGGAAAGTACCAACCATCTGTTTGCAAGGACGGACATTTCGCCTGGACTATTTTGTATTAGTTCAATATTTCATGGTTTGTGCATGAACCGGGATGCAGATTGCCCCATTTTAGGCAGTCGATCCTTTTTCCTCACTAAAGTGATAGTGGCTCAATTTTTGAGAAGCAGATCCCGTTCTTAGGGCTTGCAATTTGCTCTTAACCATGGCCCCCAGCTCCACTGCCACTTCTGGTGCCCTCTCCTCTTTGCTTTCCACCATCCATCAGCCATCATCGACCCATCTATTTTCTCAATACTTCTTCTTGTCTTCCTCTTCCTCGTAGCTTTCCCCTGTTCCCCCCTTTAGGGTACCACGGTATGCTACGGCATATTATGTGTCCATATGCTGGCACAGACATGTTCAATACTGGTCCGTCTAATCTCTCGATACTTCTCCATCTCCTCCCTTGCTTTTCCTTTTCAAGTTATCAAGGTATGTGTCGATGTACTATGTGTTGGTATTCTAGCACGGTATGCCCCTATTCTAGTTATCATGGCTGGAACTGGAAATGTCAATACTTTGTGAGTTGGTGTATTGTACCACTTTTTTTTCTGAATGCTTGATGTGTAATCTAATTATTGGCAAGTACTAGGGCAATACGAGTAGAAGATACAAAAGAACCAGCCTTGGTTACAGTTCTGGTATTTGTGCACTATATGAACTTGTGCAACTTTGTGGAAGCCAGCTATTGCATGTTATGACTGGCCCAAGTTATCATTGTGTGACATTTGATGATTATCATCTGATTGATGGCTTGCTGTAATCTTGTAGAGTAAAGGTGAACTATAGGCTTCAATGCATGAGGATTTTTAATACTTAATCTTGCCATATTGTTGTGTGCAATGCCATGTTGGTAGTCTAGACTATTGCTAAAATGTGTTAGTTCTCCAAAGAAGGGAATAAGACGGCTGAGGATGTAGGTCAAGTTTTTCATATTCATGTTAATAAGTTTCATTGTGTTTTGTGCCTATGATAATAATGCGCCACCATAACTGGACATAAGAACTGTAGTTGTAAAATTGAAGGGCATGGTATTGGTAGTTTGGTTGTTCATTTCTGCACTTATCTTTATTATCAGTTTCTACTTCATATCAGAGAACTAAGTTACTGGTTTTGTTGATTCTCTTGGTCAATATGATTGGCTGTGATACCTAAAGCTTAGAGGTGGATGGAACAAGGCCATCTTTGAGTCTCAGTGGACTCATTTGTGTAGTAGATTTATTCAGGAACTTATGGTTTCTCATTGCGTAAACTATGGTTCGCCTTACCAATCCGTACCGGTGACACATGATACGGTGAGTGTACCAACAAACCGATATGCACCACCCATACTGATCCTCTGTATGACCAGAATATACCGCTCATACCAGGTGATACACTGTGGTATGGCGAACCATGGCATAAACATAAAAAAAATTTCAGGCTTTTTAGAGGTATTTGATACATAGTACAGGAGAAACACCTGTCTCACATCTTGTTGAAAGTGGTTTCCAATCTATGTTCTGCTTCTTTTATGAAATGGTCTATCTTTCCATCTCAATCATTTAAGAATGTTGGTGAAAATGGGAACCCATATAGCGGAAAGCCACATAGAAGCATGGTGGGAAACATATCCAAGGATAGAGGGTTATTCATTTTACTCCATAAGAGAGAAACAGCCATGCAGCTGCGTGACAGATCATGGATCTCAGTCGTACACTAGTAGAAGGTTTTCTTGTTCAAAGGAAACCTTTTACTGTAAGATTTTAGTATGGATCTCAGTCTTACATAATAGCTTTTTAGTATCTAATCATGGACTAAGATTTTATTTGAAAAAATTACTTCAGCACTTCTGGTGGTTGAAATGGCATATTTTACTTATGAATTTGTCACAAATGTGAAATACTTGGGGTTGGAGAGCTTGAGTAGATTAAACAGACGTATGGCAATATTCTGGTTATTTCGTGACTTGATACAAGTTCATGAAGCTGCCTTGTTGGTGGTATTCATACTCTCTCTGATATTCCAGATGAAAAGATTAAAATGTGGACCATCAAGATGATGCTATATCATGTTTTCTGAGATGGGAAAATTGTTTCAGTTCATAATTTGCATTATACGCTCACTTTTATAGTTTAGGTTTTCACAGGCAGTTGTGGTGCATAGCTAGATGCTAGATGGACTTCTTTAGGGCCAAGATATTTGGTTATGCCAACTAAAGAACTACCAACATGGATGGTCATACTAGAAACAAGGATAATGAATAGCGATAGCAACAGATCTTATTGTCTTGTGCTCAATTCAATTATGTAGGTTGAATTGAAAATAACTCATGCCTTATATGCAAAGGAGTCAATAGGTTTGCGAGATGTTGATAATGAAGTTTACAAAGTTATAAAACAGAAGCAGAAAGTTTAAGTGGAGGAGATATTATGTAGTAAATGCTTGGCAGATGATCCAGTTAAAAGGCCAAACTTTTCTGAAACATATATCGGACAAGTGCCAATGGTGTCTTTTATTGAATCTTCTGATTATTATTTAGGACTATAATAAGAGAACATGCCCTTTTGTTTCTCTTAGTTACCATAAATCAATGTTTGATTAGCCATTTTGCTTATAATAAATATAAGTTGTCAATCTTAACTTCAAAATCAACTAAGTTTTGGATTGTGCTTAATTTTTGGATGCAGCTCTGGTTTTCTGATGAGTTTCATGTTTTTCTGTCTCATAATTTCTTTCCCATTAAAGTGACTTTGTATAGTTATTAAAAGTCCATTCATGTGTATCTTCTCTATGTCTTGTGTGTAGGTTCCTTTTTTTCTTATTATGTGTATATATTCTTTTGTTTTATAAGGAGTGTGTATTTATGTTTATGTTTATGTGTACTTAGGAAATTTGTGCTTTTTTCCTTGCTCAGTGGCATAAATGATCATTATTTACATTATATGCACATGCTTGCATGTTTTTTATGTTTGTTGGTTACTTTAAACAGTCTGACTATTTATTGTTAACTCATCATGTAAGTCAAGAAAATTCTTACTAAATTTTTGTATTTCTTTATTTCCTCCTATTATCCATGTTTTCTAATGTAATAGTAATTTAACCTTGCAGTTCCAAGACCTCATCTATCATTTGAAGAACAGTTGGTCTCTGGAAAGTCTTATAATCTTTCTCCTATTAGCTGCCCTAAGCAATCTACATCATCATCACGGTCTACAATTTCTAGAGAAAGAGAAAATTATGAAGCTAAGTTGAAGTATCCTCAACGGCTTCGTCGACTTCACATATTTCCTTCAAACAAAATTGAGGTAACTTGTCCTTCCATTGTTTGAGATTTTTTCCAACAATTAAGTCTCCAAGTAATCTTCCCATAAGATATTGCTAATATAAGCAATTGTTTCTCGCAAAAAGCACACTTGGCTAATGCTAAAGTTACTGATTTAAGTCGGCTCATGATGTTGACTGATACTGATGTTCTCACTTCTCAATCCATATTAATATAACCGAAGGTTGCTACAATTTTAGTTGATTTCTCTGTCATATGCTCAGAAGTTGGTAGGAAATTGGCTAGAACGGAAAAGGTTAACCGACTTTGAACTGGGTTTGGGCCATTCAATGATAGAGTTGCTTCTTGCTACATTTTTACCTCAATATATTATTTATTACCTTTTCCAGTTATTTGACAAATCTTATTTTCCTTGTAGTTTTTTCAATTATTAATTCTTCTCTGTGGCAGAAAATGCAACCAATTGATCGGTTCATTGTTGAAGAGTATTTGTTGGATGTGCTGCTTTACTTCAACGGATGGTTGGTTATACACTTCCTTGTCTTCATGTTTAAATCTACATAGTTTCTCATTGTATCTAAAATTTAATTTCACATTGTTTCTCGTTGCATCAAAAATATTGACACTACATGGTTTGTTCAAAAAGATTAGATCAGGATGGCCTGTTGTTGGAAGTGTTATTATTTTCAAACAATGGAAAAGTAAAAAGTAAATTATATACTAGATTTTGTCAAAAAGGATGCTCTGAAAGTAATGTGCACTATCACGCCATATGTTATTTAACTTGAGTCATGAAAATTTGATGTTTGGTTCAGTTAAGTTGCTATCATTATCATATGTCCTCATTAATCCTGTTTTGCCAGTTATTCATGTAATAGCAACCTTATTTGCCAGTTTTAAGCCTTTCTAACTTGCATTTTCATGATGCATGCTTCTGTTTTTGGTTATTGCTTTTAGATCCTCTGGAATAGACCACTATTGTCCAAACAGGGCCTTGTTCAAGTTTGCTTTGCTAATGCCAAGACCTTCAACTGTTTCTCCCATTATCCTACTGCATTTCTTCTTTCTAGATCAATGATGTTTTTAGATATTCTGCTTGCTCATCTTGTAGTTTATTTTGTTCATTTTATTGCTGAACGCATAAATTTTAAGGTACTAGCTGCCTTTTTCATTACATCTGGTTTTCACTGCCCTATTATTTTGGGTGCAGTACACTTTGTAAACTTTATTTTGATGCAAGAGAACTTTTTGAAGATGCATATTAAGCATTGATATAACCAACAATTTTTTGTTTATCATTTTTCTTGTCATTAATTAGTTTGTCAAGGATCTCGTTGTTTTCTGTAAGAGTTTCTTTTACTGCATAAAAAAACTGCTTTAGTTTAAAGCTTGGACCTTACAAAAATTAATTTCTTCAATGCCATTGAGTTAGTTTAGCTTTAACCATAATTGTAGTTTCAATTAGTGTGGTTTGTTTGGTATATTTCCTGGTATATATCTGTCATGAGTTGCTAGTTTTACATAGGTATAGCATTGCTCTGGTTTCCACATTAGTTATTTTTTTTAATATCATTTTTCTTAGACATTCATATTACTACATATTGGTTTGACTGGATACCAAACAGGTATGCAGAACCTTAATGAAATTAAAGTAGTTGATAAACTTTTTCCTATGTGTAGTGGTTATTACCAAGGTTCGCCGTACCACGGTATGTCGCTTGTTACAAACAGCATGTAGAGACTGGTATGAGCAGTACATACCAGTTTGTCGGTGCTTCCTATCGTATCATGTGTCGGTACATTGGTATGGTTTGGTACGTACCGTACCGATGGTCGATCGATACACTGGTATAGACCAGTAAAGAGAACCATGGTTATTACGATAACCTTTGTGAAGTTCTTTTAGATTCTAGCACATTGATTTTTTTGTTAAATATTGATCACATTCATCGATTTGCTTATTATGTACTTTCATATATCCTAATTCTGAATATTCTAAAACAAGTAGTTAGATAACATAGGAGTTTATGTAAAGTAGTAAACATATAAAATAAATTATATTTGCTTCTGATGTTTTTGGAGGAGCCCTTAGTTTTGTCGTATTATATGTTCTTGATTTGTGAAACTGTGTTTTATCGTACATCTAATCATTTTGTATATGTTGGTAGACCCATGCCATTACCAATTTATTTGTAATGACTGATCAAGGATTGGCTGTTGATTTTGTGCATTTGCTAATCCTTGGCAGGCATGTATATATCATGTGGTTTGGCACACAATGACACGGTCTGCTAGAGGCATCCTTAGTCTTTCTCTCGCATGCACAATTTTAAATTTGATGCTTTCTTCGGCAATTTCAGGAAGTGAAAAGTAAAACAGAAAATAAATAGCTTTGAAGAACCATTTGTTTATGTTCCATATCATGCTAAATAGTTAGCACCTTTGACTAATTTTGTCACTGTGCAATTTGTTGCTGTGTGAAAATGCTGATAATACCGGCAGTAATCAACACCGGCAACATTGTCTTCTAAACTATCTATGGTATTGTGTTTTGTTACTTGTGATCATGGTTCATCTTACTGGTTCGTACCAATCTAACAATCGGCCATCGGTATGGCACATATCAAAGTATGCTGACATACTGACATATGGTATGGTGGGCGTATTGACCAGTGATTTCAATAGGCGCTTGGGTGCTCGTCTCGTCTCGTTTCATTTCTAGGCAGCACTTCAAAGAGGCACCGCCTGGGCGCTCGCTTGAGCCTAGGCACCGTGCGCTTTGGGCGAGTGCTCGGGTTAAACCAGGCGACCGAACCAGCGTTTTAGGTCTGGTTCGATCTTCGTTGCTTTAGTTGGTTCAATCGAACCAAGTAAAGCACCGATATCAGCCTTCCTCTCGTGACTTCCCAACCCTACTCCTGCTCGTCGATCCTGCTTGCCGCTGCTCGTTGTTACCGCTGCCACTGTCGTCGCTTGCCGCTCCTGTTGCCACTGTCGCTGCTCGCTTTTACTGTTGCCACTGTCGCCGCTCTCGCTGTCGCTGCTCGCTGCTGCCACTGTAGTCGCTCGCTATTACAGCTGCCACTGCCACTGTCGTCGCTCGCCGCTCCCGCTGCTGCTGTTGCTGCCACCATCGTCGCTCGTCGCTCCCACTGCTACTGTTGTTGCTACCACTGACGTCGCTCTCACTCCCGCTGCTTCTACTACTGTCATCGCTCGCTGCTACCGCTGCCACTATCATCGTTGGCTGCTACCGTTGCCACTATCGTCGCTGTCGCTGCTCGTTGCTATCGCTTTCGCTGCTCTCAGTCAATAGCCTCAATCTTCCTCTTACTCACACTCTTCTCACTTCGATAGTATACTGTTAACAATATATTAACAGTCTACTATAACTATATACAAGTAATAATATTTTTATTTATTAGATTAATAATATATTATTTTGATTTTAATGCTATTAATTTTTATTTATTTGAAATTATTGTTATTGTTTTGAATTTTGAGATGTTTTGTTAATGTGATATTATAATTTTACAAGATTTTTTTAATTTAATATCATATTTTTATTTAAATAATTATATTTATTAATTATATTGTATATTTTTTATATTTTAGCACCTCGTTTCGCTCGAGCGAGCGTCTAGGCGAGCGCTTAGCATCTCGGGCGTTTTTCGACCTTGGCTCCTAGCACTTTTTAAATCACTGGTACTGACAAATTGGTATGTACTACCCCTATCGGACTAGTATGTACCACCCATACTAGGCGGTATGTCTCGGTACTACGAACCCTACTTGTGATTGTTCCAGTGTTACTTCAAGAACCACTCTTAAGCAAATGCATAATCTTGAACTCCAATTTACAAATTCAATTTCTTACAAATTCTGTGTCTGCAATTTCTATATTCATCACACATTTTTATTGACAAATTTGTATTGTTTATTAGTTGATGCACTTCATTATTCTAAACATAAGCAAATGCGTAATCTTGAACTCCAATTTACAAATTCAATTTCATATAAATTCTGTGTCTGCAATTTCTATATTCATCACACATTTTTATTGACAAATTTGTATTGTTTATTAGTTGATGTACTTCATTATTCTAAACATAATTTGCTTTGATAATTATCTATTCTTGGAAAGATAGCCGGAAGGAATGTGCTTCTTACATGGCTAGCCTGCCTGTGCCCTTCCGCTATGAATATCTGATGGCAGAGACAATATTTTCACAGGTTAGCCTTATATTTTTTGTATAAGCTGCTTCTCAGTTTCAACTTTCAATTATCCTGTGTTCTTGGCTGACCATAGTCTTTTCAGCTTCAGTGTGTGAATTTTATTGGTCATTTGAAGTTTATTTATCTAAGTTCATATGTACAAACCTATGTATATAGCAGTCTCCGGATGGAAGACAAAAAAGATAAAAGATGAAAAGGAGAAGATAATTACAAATTTATGGTATTTAGAAAAGGTTATATTGGTAATTTGTAACGATGGGCTTTGATGCACTGAATGGTTCATACACAGGACATGGCATGATACAATATGGATACATCGACATGATAATTCTTGTAAAGTAGGACAACATAATATGGGCAGGACCAGTTTGTGTATATATTCATATCTTATTTGTGATTTTATAATTTATACTATATACAAAAATCTCTGATCATCAAATAAGACTTGCAGAGTACCTGTAGCCATATGCATATATATGTACATTAACAAGCCAATTGAAGGTTCTAATTACCCACATATTGCTAATATTTGACATGCCCTGAAGCATTATGTTAATGATTTGAGTGTCCAACATATATAAAATATTGGTGTACAGTGCAATAGCATTAATATGCATGAACTTCTAGACACATTTATCTGCATTCTGTATTGGTTTTGTAGTCTAAATAAGTTTTTCTTTTTTTGCCCTTTATATTTGATGCCATTAGTGTACTTTCGTATGTTCATTCCATATAGTATTGTCATTCATTTTTTTGCAGATAATGTTCCTTCCTCAACCACCATTCAAACCCATCTACTATGCGTTAGTTATCATTGATCTTTGTAAGGTAAATTCTGCTTATACACTCATACTTTCTTATTTTAACTAAATGAGATTAAAATCATTCTATGCAACATTCATGATATAGAGGCTTTGTCCTGCATATTGGAACTATTTTATGCTTATACATTTGTTCTATGATGTGCCCTGCAATATCATCAAATATTCTTGAAGTTCCAATCGTTTGTGTCAAATTGATTGATGCTTTCTGCCATTTATACTAGCAAGGGTGACATTCTCATTGATCCAAGGGCTTCCACAAGTGGTACTCCTAGTTTCAGTTATACTTCTTAAATTTTTATGATTACGGTTGTAGTATCAATTTTGCTTAGTTATGTCTCTGTTGGGACATCCCAGTTGGTTAGTGCATTGTTGTATAAGTAATATGTCTCAGGTTTGAGTTCACGTGTGAACGTCATGTATGCCTGTAATGGAAATTTCTTATTTGAGAAAAAAAAATTTGCTTAGCTATTGTGTTTTTAAGTTGCATAGCTTATGCCTTTATGAATGATGCAAATCAGGAGCTGGGGTCTCTTAATGAATCTGTGTGAATTCATCCTATTGGATAAAGCATTTTTAATAGTGTCTAACAGTTTATGTGGTATATAAACAGAATATGGATCTTTCATAAGTTATGTTGTGGTAGAAATGCTTGACATGGATTTAACAGA